TGCTGGACTTGCTACAATATTCACCAAAAAAATCTTCAAGGCAAGGGTCACAGGAAAGTAGTGTAAGTGCTAGCAGCGTTCTACTACATATTCTGAAGAAAGGCAAGTTGCATATGTACATTCTGAGGCTGGTGCATTTGGTAATTGATGACAACCCATATCGCTATGTACAATTTTGTGAATGGCTTGAGAAGATGGTTACTCGTGAACGAGAATTTATGGGTAGTATTGCTTGGTCAGATGAAGTGCAGTTTTAACTTAAGGAATCTGTCAATAGGCATAACTGTGTATATTGGGTTGTAGTTATTCCCCACATTATTCTTAAAAAGGCTGTAAATTTGCTTGGTATAAATGTGTGGTGTGTTGACTTACTGGGTCTTTCCGTTTTGAAGGTACTGTAACTGGAGAGAAGTACCTGACAAGAGTTGCTGATTCCATTTTCCCTGCTATTCATGCAATGTTTGGTAATAATAGGCTTTATCAACAAAATGTGCTCGTCCACAATACGATAGAAATGTGCAATCATACCTGGATAAAAATGCACCAGGCCAGTAAATAGGATGCAGGGGACACATCAAATTTCCTGCACGCTTTCCAAAACCTTATGCCGATCAATTTTACCTTATGGGGTGCAATAAAAGATGAGCTCTGCTGTCGTAAACCACGTAACCTTGACACACTTTTGGATGAGATTGAAGCGGTATGCGCTTGGACTCTTCGGTGCAAAGTACAGAATCAGTCGTGACTCGTACTCAGAAATGTATCAGTGCTGAAGCCACCATTTTGAACATTTACTTTAACCACCATTTGGAACATTCAGTTTGAGCTGAAAGTACACTTATTTTTCAAATTGGAATATGTAACTTTTCCTAGAAATTTAACCTTGTAGTTAGAAAATAACTTTTCTATGATAGTTCAAAAAAGTGTGCATACTTTTTTCTGCCACTTCCTGTAGTAACGTGAAGCAAATAATTATTATTATGCAGAAGGTGGTTACTGCTTCTTCAATAAGAATAGACACTTGTTTGCTTTTTCTAATAGCTTCTTATTTTACCTACAAGATAAAAGTGATTGTGGGATAAGTGATTGTGGCATAAGTTTGATTGTGGCGTTTTCATGACCATGTTATTATGTTGTTCTCTATTTTCAGCTTAGTTCTTCACAGTATTATTGAAGTAAGTAATACACAGCTAAATTTTTGCAACTGGCAGGTTATATGTGTGTGTGCTTGATGACAGCAGGCATGAGAAGAAGAGAGATTTTTGTTTTAAGATTTTGCAAATATTTGGTTGGGGCTATATGCTAAATATGGAGTTTTTAAATTTCTTGGAAGAGGATATTACTTATATTACTTTATTATTATTAACTGTTAATGATCTCATTTGATATGGGATGGAACAAAAACTTGGTGTCTTTTAAGTTACTGAGGCGTTTGTCTTGAATAAAGAGTTAAATGTTAAGTGCAATTATATAGCAGTTAAAAGCATTAAATTAGCTTTTCCCAAAGAATATTCTATGTAATGAATTATTTTTTATGATAAACATAGATAATGATGAAAATGAATCATAAGGATATAGTTGTATTCCGTGCTGATTGAATACATTTCTTAACAAAACAGTTCCCGCCTTATTAAATGTACTCAGTTTTTGATGATGGTTAGATGTAAACGTTAAAAGCTGATTCATAAGGATATAGTTGCAGTTGTGGCTGGTTTAACGTTGCTTTATTGATGACCATTTTTTATGCAAATGCTGCTAAATCAGTGTAAAAAACATGCCTATTTTTAAATGGTTGCATTGGTACTTTATACACTTTTGTAATATTTTTGAAGCAAGGAAGAGCAACAAATGAGTATAGCAGTGAAGCAGAGGAGAAATACGTACAGTATACTGCTGAGGTTGAGTTAAGAATGATTCAATTTTGGCTTGATATTTTATTTTGATATTTTAGTTGTAGTGGATAACAATTTCTGTAAGCCAGCAAATAAGATCTTACATAGTATGGTGTAATATATTATGTTGTTGGATTATGAAAAACTGAAAAGGCCAGAGCATTCTACGTAGGTATAGTAAAGCTTGGAAGATTAATTTTAGTTTCATGTTGAGATGAGCTTAAACTGTCACAAGTAATGCTCATAAATTTAACTATTCTTAGGAAGAATGTTTCAGCCATTCCAGTTTTTGCAACTATTTCCTTATATCTTAGCTTTCATTATTTACATCTACTTATCATCAAAATTTGATTTCATTCTGTTTAGATAGAATGAAATTTGAAAATAGTTAGTTCTTAAAAAACCATTAACTAAACTGCAGACTGAAATCTGCTATAATTTAGTAGAAATGTAAAAATGCTGTTAATAATGAAAATTTTTAAATCATATTATACGCCGTTTCCGTAATATATGCAGAAAAAAGGCTAAAACCTACGGGGGGGGGACACTGGATTAAAAAATTAAACCACATACGAACATTCAAACCGCAACAGAATTAACAAGTAAAAAATAATGAAAGCTTTTAGATTTTACATTACGCCCAAAGGGGCATTTTTTTAACGTTTCGAGTGTTACATTTCTTTATCATATAATGTTCTTTACACTTAAACCATAAAATTCAGTTCAACAGCAATATCGCAAAATAATTTTAAAATGAGCATATCTTTAGAATTTCCGATACACAGTTTTGCGCTCTGCACATAAAATGTTTTTTTTTCTTCTCCCCCCCCCCCGGCCTGTGTTGCAGTTGCTCGCTTTGGAAATCTTTGAGTTTGCTAATAAAATTTCGTTCAAGTTTTACAAATATCAATCAGATAATAAAAAAAAATTCCAAGTTTGGGCTTCCAGATGCCCATATTAGTTGGAAACGTATGTTATTCAAAATTTGATGGCTCTAGGTACCGTTATTTTATCACAATGCGAGAAACATTTATGCAGATTTTTCAATATTTAATTTCTTTAAATATAACACAGGGCGATAACATTTAGTGGCAACAGAATAACAACACAGCTTCAAAACATCGGGTTAGCCATGTTGGCGCGTTTATTGCCCATTGAAAAACAATCGCCAAGCAGTGGGCTAAACAGTATTTTAACCCATTAAACAAAAAGTGGAATTGCTGCAAAAAATGGATAAAGGCGTATCCTTTGTTTATCTAAACTTTAACGTTTGTTTATCTAAACTTTGTGTATCTTTAACGCCGCGGCTGTTTATCTTTAACGTCGCGGCGGGCGCGCAATGAATTGGAAGTTGATCTGTCAGCACTATCCTTATCTTCAGGGCAGATGTTTTTATTTTATTTGGCTTATAATTCCTTACTAAATGTAGTATTTCATCTCGATGTACTCCGTCTTTGATATGATTTAAATCAAATTCCTTGTCAATATAATTCGCTTCCGATAGCGAAGAAGGTGACAGAGGTTATTGAAAACGAAAAAATTTCGATTGACAAATTAGTCGGAATGACTCCAAACAGCAATTCCATAGGACTTGAACAGCGGAACTTTGTAACTGAACAAAGAAATTATGTCTGTTTATAGGAATTAAAGAGAATGTATTATCACGTAAAAACGAAAGCAACTTAAACAACTTACATTGAAGAAATGTTTAATAAAGTAAACAAATAAATATTAAGCTTTTTTTTTTGTAATTTTTGATACCCTTTAGATCATAAATATGTTCTTGATTTCATAAATTACGGTTTCATATTTTTACTTTTATAATTTCTGCATGCCATCTTACCAGATTTAAACTGATGATCTATAATCCGGAAAAATCGATAATCCGGAATCGCCGCAGTCCCGACGAGTCCGGTTTAACGACTTTTGACTGTATTATATGTGATGTTGTCTTATATTCAGCCAGATGTAGCATTTTAAAAAAGGATTTTGTATGCATATCTCTTGATAATATTTTTCTATACATATAGCTTACTTAAAATAGTTCAGAAGTAAATGTTAAGATCCTTGTGACGCATTTTCAGTTTTTCAATCAACAAGTTTATGTTGGAAGTATTAAAGCAGAAAGTTCTGTAATATAATTTGCCACCTAAAGATGGCACATGTCAGTAATTGGAATTTTATCATTTTAAGGTGTGTTTGTGGAAAAGGAAGCAGGGCATACAGGAGAGTTTCATAATGATTACAAATTGCATTAATTAAAAAAAGATTTACTTGTTAATTTTTTATTACATGTTAAATGTGTGTGTCTCAGCTTAGTACATTAGCTGGCTGTCTGAAAGTCAGCTATATAGTGCAGTGCTAATGGCTGATACTAAATGAATAGGATGAAAGCCTATTAAATTTTTTTTGGAAGGGGGAGACATTGTGGGATTGTGGATCAGCCAATAGCTGAATGTCTGAAACTATAAAATATAAAAAGTTTACCCGGAGTTCTGTTTTTTGTTGATGGGACAGGTTGGCTGCAAAAAAAATTTTTTTTTTTTTTTGTAATTTTCCTCATTATAATATAAACATAGGTTAGGAGAATATCATGAAGGCATCCTTCTTTAGAGGCAAATAGTATGTTTAGACATAATCAATGAAATCAAATAATTTGATTTTTTTTTTAAATCTGCACATCGAGTTTATTAAAAACTACAGGCTATTTAACTAACATTGATACCCATTTGAAGATGTAATTTAAGTAAATAACAGAAAAAGTATAAAGTAATAAAAATATGGACTATATGAAATTTAAATTGAGCAAAATTCATTCTCAGAATTGACATGGGCTTTGCAGATAAATTCTCGGGATTTAAAAAATGTTATACATTTCTGTGATTTTATAAAGAGCAGTCTTTTTAAGCATTTCTAACATAAGTATGTATTTATTGTGAATATTTTCTAGTTAAAAAAACAATTTTCGTAATAAACACTTACTGATGTATATCGGTACTTTTTTAAAGAGTTTTATTATTTGTTAAGTAGAAAATGAGAATAAAGGGTTTATGAATTCGAATATTTTAATCCTACATATTATTAAATCATAGAGATATAAAAACTATCTTTGTTTTGAAAAAGGTTTTTTATTTTTCACTTTTGAAAATTTTAATAACAGAGGATATTTTTACATAGCATGCATTTGTCTGAACGAAATGTACAAAATGTTGTAATTTGAAAGGAAACGTTCTGTGATTTAAATCTGCAAGCTGCTTTGATGAACTTCTTACAAGGAAGGTCTGAAAAAAACTTTTAAATACTCTTTTTGAAAGCTTTACTGTATAATTTGATGTGACTAGAGCCCTGAAAGTCTGCATAGATATATTTATTTTAATGTAATGTCTAGCTGCTAAACGTAAGTAATGCATAAAATTGCTATGGAAAGTGTGTAACTACACGGTAAATAAGACTGTGCCTCATGTTTAATTTTTCTTGCTTTAAAATTACAGCTCCTTTTACTAATCATGAAGTTTTCATAATAGTTTTTGCATAGCTGCTCTATAATACACGTTAGTTTTAAGCATTTCATTATTTGCTACGGTTTAATCATACTTACCATATTCGTGCAAGTCCGCAATGTTTAGATTATATCATCAAAGTTCCTTCAGTTATTTCTGATAATAAATCCTAACTAGGCATTCCAGTCCTTTTAACCTTCCAGTGATCTTTTTAGCATCAGAAATCACATTATATGAAATCACATTAAGTAATACAGGTTAAATAGATCTTTAGTGCATAATTATAGCGGACATATCTCCATTCGAGCCATGTTTACTATTCGTCACGTAATCAGGAGGTCGCTCTTCCCATTGCAAGATCTGGTAGGATTGAATTTGTCCTTCTGGGCCAAGGCTACTCCCCGTATCTTCATCGTCAGCTTCTTGTGGTCTTAGAAGGTGTTCAGCAGGCAGAACTTGGTGGTCATCATGGGTTTTGTGGTGGTAAGATGCGGGCGAATTGCCGCTGGAACGGGGTGGAGGCGGCGGAGGGACAGCCGGTGGGGCTGCTTCATCGAAGTGGGTTGCGGAGAACACGGTGATATCGTCCCGTGCTTGCAGTTGTTGTCAGATGGTCGTTTCCCTGGAAATGATAGTTCAGAATTAGTATACAGATTTTGTGGCTTTTCTACTAGAATATATTGTAAGAAATTTGTTTTACATATATACACTTCCCATTTAAACACCATTTCAGCGATTAATCCGTCATCTTTTACTCAACTGCGTATATTTTAGGCATTTAGTTGACAGTGAAAATGATAACGGGCGCTTTAAATTTTATAAATTATTTCGCTTTGTCCATCAATTGCAGACACACTACATAATGATAGTAGATTAACTAATCTGTTTCTAAGAATTTGAGAATCTTATTTTTCATTTTGATGTTTTTTTGTTAGTAACTTATTTTAATTTTTGCACCATCGAATTAGAGCGAAATTTTTCCCCTCCAGCAACTTCAATAGTATTATGATTTTTAATGTTTTATATTTTGTGCTAATTAGAACCTATTTTAAGTAATGTAAGAAATAAGTTCAATGAAAATTGTGAATCGCTATCATCATTTTAAAATTAAACGACGTTCAGATTCATATATATATCTGTATGGAGTGTAATTAATCTCAAATATTTGAGGAAATTTTACATGATGAAGAGAGCAGGAATTTCCCGATATAATGCTTTTGTTTTGTTTTTTGAGTGCTTGCTTCTGTTTTGGGAGAGGTTAATTAGGCAAATAACGTTATTCCTCTTTCAAGTTATTTTAATCATGATGTAGAATTAACGAGGATTATTTGTTATGTGAGAAAAGAACTCTTTAAAATAAAGATTAAGAACTAAGAGCATTTTAGGTTTTTCCTCAACCGCTATTTTTTGGGGAATTTAGGAATTGTGGAACCAATTGAAGAGTATGGAATAAATCAAATCCAACTATTTTCCCAGGGAAACAAAGAGGAAAAAAATATTAAAAAATCAATTTTCTTCAAAAAGGACAGCATCGTGGTAAGAATGTATATATGAAAAATGATTCAACGTACTTTTATTTCAGAATAGAGGAAACACAGAAGATGAAGTAGGACAGATTTGGGGGGGGGGAAAGATATGTCCGTGGAAGGGGGAAAAATATCAAGAAAATAAAGAATGTGGAAGGAAAGGGAATTCGAATGACAGTAGTGATCAGTCATCCTAGATCCCCGCCCTATGATGAGAACTTTTGAGTTTCATATAACGCATAAAAGAAGTTCAGTTATGAACAGCATCTCCAAGCAAAGGCAGATTTTCTGAAAACGTGTGTTGCTTTTCTTTTGCCTGAATTTATAATTATTCAATTTAAATCATGCTAGAGTTTTAAAATGGGGGAAATGTATACTGGGAACATTGAAAGTTTTGATAATGTTGACCGAATGTCGCTTTTGGATTACTTACATTTTATTTATTCTAGTAAGAAACGCTGCTTTTAAGTCTCCTTTTGGGAGGGGGGTTAGTGACGTCTAAGAGAAACCTTTTCTTAAGCAGGCTGAATATGTATGTATGCACTTCATTTCCAAGAGGAATACAGGAGTACTGAAAATTATTTAGAAAATTTTGCGAAGTTTTAAAATGTATCTGGAATTACTTCTGTACATAGAACTTTGAACTCATCCTTTCTAGTCACCATAAGACCTAAAAATGAATTGATCCAGTTTTTGAATCTTTCAAAGAATGTGTAGTGTAAAAAAAGGTATTATAAGACCGATTAATTTTTTGATAATCCGATAAAACAATGCGCAAATAATGTTCTTCCATCGAAAATATAGAATTCCGTTATTGATGTTTCATTTTATTTCATGATGTGTTAGCCAGATTCATATTTTGAACATGAAATTAATTTCATGTGCGAAAAAATTAACTTATTTCTCTTTGAAATTATTTTAGGAAATATTAGTGAGGACTAAGAGTAAAACATACATAGAATGTCTAATTTTGCAGGTATTGACAATATCAAGGGTCGATTTATATATTGATCAAGGGATGAATTATATCTATAGTCCTTTTTAAGAAGGAACGAAAGGCTATGTAATTCATTATTTTTCATTTATAAATTATTCTTTTTGCGTATTCTCTGAAATGACATATTATTATTTTTTAAATGGCTAAATTTATTCACTAATGTTAATTCCGAAAGGTATTTGATAAAAAGTAGTCTCTCAAATGACAAGCGGATATGAAAAGAAAAAAAAAAAAAAATTGTATTTACTTCTGGAAAGCTCGAGGAGAATATCTGACGGGTGCGCTCTCTTTTGCTGAGATGTAGCGGAACTAAACGATTTTGTGGTTATGCTTTACGCATGTGTTGCTCTTGTCGTAGGCGTTGGGAGTTTTCATTTCTTTTTTCTAAAGTTTCCCCTGCTGGCTATCTTATAGAGATCATGCTACCTGTACCAGCTGTTGAATTCTCTACTGGCAGCTGCTGAAGTAACATTTTAGGAGAATAAGTAGGGAATTTTTAAAGTTTTGTATTTGGGCTTGTTCTTGGCCATCAATGTTAGTTTGAACTACATATTAAGTTGATAATTAATAGTAAGGACAGAACTTGTATATTAATTTTAATTATTCACAATAGGCATGAATATCATTCGCTTATGAACGTTGGTTTTTCAACTATTTTTCAAATTTTCACCGTTAAAGCTAATAAGTTAGCGGCGAAGGGTGGTTGGCAAGCGTCGTTTGGTTCATCTTCATCCGTACCCTAATAAGTTTTCCACAGAAAACTGTTTTTTCTGTAGGGAAAATCATTCTTTGCATCCACTTTATATAATCTTTCTGTGGACTCATTTTTAAGCTGTAAAATTTTACATTGTAGCTGTGGAAAATATGTTACTGTTGCCTAATAACGAATGTAAATTTGTTATTAGGCAACAGTAAAATATTTGTATATAGTTCTCAAGTCTTTTTTGGAACAGACAGTACTTCCAACACTAAATTACTTGCAGAAAAATAAATAAGTACTGAAGATGGATATGCCACTTATGAATGGTAGCTACAAGAATTTTACTGACATGAGCCTCGAAAGAAAGATTAAGAGACAGTTCCAAACTGACTTGGAAGAGATTATGAGCAGAGAAACAAATTTGGTTGGCATGGCTGGAGACAAAGGGCTTGGTGCCGTGGTGTATGAAGACCTAAGATTTTATTCAGACTTGTTGTTATGAAATAGCAATAATGATGATTAGACAATAATAATCGAAAACTCATGTTTTTGCCCTTATACCAGTTTTAAACCGATTAGAAACAGAAATTTTGTTCAATCCCATGCTGTTTAATATTTGATAAGAAAGAAAAGAATGTTGAAAGGAATTATGGTATATCCTTTTGCATGCTTTCATAATGTAATTGTGGTAAGTATGTCCGTCTAGCATTTAGAAGATTTGTGGTTCCAATCACAGTTGATTTTTAACGTTCCTTCGTCAAAAAACACCTAATGAGTCATTATACGTGTACCCAAATCAGAAACGCGGTGGTGGATAATTGGATTGGGTTGACTGCATCTGGTACTCTTTATTCATACATTAAGAGGTGAAGATTAAGTTAGGTTATTTGAATATGGCCGAGCGCATGAGGGATGGCTTCCTGGAGAACTTTTATGTACGAAAAGTCCTCTATGTTTTCATACTGGGAAAACTACGAACATCAACCATGCTGTCAGCTCTTTTGGTTCAAACTATCAGCATTCACCAGTTTTGAACACTTGACCATTGGTGGAACATTTAAGAGATGAAACATGGAAGGAATTATCCTATTTCCTTCATGTGTGCTTTCTTGGTGTAAGTGGACAGCATCGAGCTAGCAAGTGGTAAATCCATGAATTGAATTCTGGCGAATGCACAGTTGATTTTTTGTGTTTCCAGCTAAATTTAAATTTGGGACTCGTATATAGAGCAAATATGTGTATATGTATGTTAGACATACCATCCTCGAAAGTATTAAGCAGCTGTGAATTTACTTTTGTAAATGTTAGTGGGAAAGTCCAGGCATTTATGATATGAAGAATCTCCCCCGGCTGCAATAGGGGTAAGACCTATCTTAAATACATTTTTTTTTTCTCCCATGTTTTTCTTTTCGGAGCAGTGCGCTTTCCTGCGGTGTTCTTTTATCTACTCTTGAGCCTCGAGGTAAATTGTCCACCTTGTTTCTACTGCCAAAAAGGAAAACAACTGCCACGGAAGAATTTCATGAATAATAAGTTCTTCGCTTCGTCGTTGCATAAAAGCTTGGATCGAAAATCCCCTTTCTCCACTCTTTTCCACTTATTTAGGATTTCCTAGAGGGAGTTTCACTTAGAGAAGTATATTTTATCCTTCTCTTGTCTTATTTTCGCTCTTTTAACAAAGTTATTTTTAAAGAAACGGTTTATATATCTTGATTTTATGTTCTTAAATAAGTTTACTGTTCATGGTGACGAAATCAGCGTGAAATCTATTATTTACTTCAATTGTTTAAAAAAAAACTGCTATTTTTGAAAACTTATTGATTCTGTTTTCATTGTAATATGCTAAGTTTTCAAAGCCTTTTTATCAGATGTTTCTCTATCGTCGTACCTAGATCTACCTAAATGTCCAAAGAGTTAAAGCCTAAATAAATAACTTTATCTTATGTCTTTAATTTAGCCGAATTTCTTAGAATTTTTTAATACATGTACTAAGTTTGATTTCCCCCCAAATTTATTAGCAAATATTGATTGACTTCAGAGATTATGCAAGATTTGTATTGCGTCTAATAAAATTACGTTGAATGAAAAGTACGTTAAAATTATCCACTCTTTTGTGGTGGGAAACGTAGAATTTTTTTTTTTTTTTTTCCTTCAGTCTGATGTTTATATTAACAAATTCAAGAGCCGAGGAAAAAAGGAATAGATTTTTAAACCACATAGATGATTCTTGAGCATGCTGTTACTGCGCTCCGCATTTCCTGCGATATTAGATGTTATTTTCTGTTAAAAAGGCGTATTTGTTTGAAAATGAGTGTTATATCATATTAAATATTTCTTGATATTTCATTTGCATAACAACGGTGAAAAAATTGGTTTCTTGGTAGCATCTTTTTATGTTGGTTCGACTGATTATTAGTTAATACATTTGTCTTACAACATTTTACTGCTAATAATGATGCAGTTTTTATTAAGTCATCAATACGAATTGTTTGTCTGGATCTTGTTTATTATTTTGTTACATCCAATATTTAACACTTATACATTTAATGTTGTTATACGTAGCATTTTTTATAATTCCTCCCATAGTAATCGCCACCATAAACACACAAAAATGCATACAAGATATTGATCGACGTGTTTGTTAAATAGGAGAGTATGTACTTTTCGTAAGCCAAGTATTTTTTTTATTGTGTTTTTAATACAATTTCTTTCTCTCTCTCTCTCTTTTTAAAATTTGTTAGAATTTTATAGTAGCAAACGTAAACTATTTGACAATAGCTGCAAAAAATCGCTATAACAGTTTCTGTACATTTGTCACAAAATGAGGTAGTGAAAAGCTATTTTTAAATTCCTTCATACCATTAGATTTTACCTTTTACACTCTTAATGTGGACGGATCACATACAAGCGACTGTTAGGACAACCACTTGAAATTGGCCAGTGACAGGTCAGGTAAGCATCATTTAGTTTCGCCCAAAGTGATGTCATATTGCAGGAAATTTTCATTATTTTGTTTATATGTTACGAAATATGTCGGCAGAATATACTTCAAGCCAGCTGACCAAACATGTTTCAGTTGCCCTATGGCAAGGTATACAACAAACTGATTTATCCAAAAAGTTTCAGTTGGATTTAGAGTGATGGAGCTCATCTGGACTGTCATTAGATACATTCAAGCGGTTATCCTAACAGTGTACAGTTCGCGTATATGCGGACGGGTCTGAGGGCTTTTTGGCAGTCAACCAGTACAGGTCGCGTTATCCATGGTCAGACAAAATTTGCTTTGTTTTAATGATCGTGGTCTAATTTTTACTTTCTATTGTGCCCTTGCATTTTAGGGGATTAAATACTGAGATGAGTCCTATGACTTGAGATTAAATGTCATAGACAAAGGCTCCCCTATCATCTGTGAATGTACATTAACATCTCGTCATAACTGTAGTGGTTTAAAAATTATATCATAGAAAGTTAACATTCATTATACTTACATGTAGCCTCTGTTGAGTCGGCAAGCTCGAGCTATTTCTGAAGAAGTACCTGGCCTTCGGGTGATTGCACTTCCGCTACCACAGTCGCTAGGACTTCCCCATGAACTTCCACAGCATGGGAAGTCAGCAGCCACATTCCGGAGGTCCCTGTGCAGCATCAGCAGCAGGGTGGGGTTAACGAAGGCATGTACAAAGGCGACGTGCAAGGTGATTTCGTAGGTGATGGCGTAACCTGGTCTTCCAGGCTGGATAAGTGTCAGGGTGAACAAGGGGCCCCAAAATAAAATGTAAGCGGCTAGAATGATAGCGAAGCTTTTCACACGCCTGATACCTGTAAAAATGCGGTAGAAGCCTAAATCAGTGTATAATCAATATTGTTTCTTACTTTAATGATCGATATTTTTCGCAGATGGATTCTCAGTGCAATAGAATCTTTTTTGCTGCAGTTATTCTGGTGATGCTTCACGTAACTTATCTAAATTTAGGCAAAAGAGATTTTAGAAACAAATAACGTAATTACCTTCTTGTTCCAGGCGGTGGATATAGCTTTGAATCTGCTGAGACTCGTTACACGAAGAGTCGTGGGGTCCCGACCTCACGGATATCATAGTCGTCACCAGACCCGCTATCCTCACGGCTTCCAAATTGGACCTTTTGCAAAAAAAAAAAAAAAAAAAAGAAACTAATAATAATAATTGATTAAACTCTTATTTCAACCATTTGCTAAGCATCTTTCATATAATTTTAAAAACAAGACTAAATCTTCAAAATATGAGATAACGAAAAAAAGCTATTTTTGAATAGTTTTCTGTGGCAATATTTTATGAAAACAGTGTTGTTGTCTTTAAGAATTAGAATAAAAATCTTTATAATGGAGCCTTTTAAACGTGGTTGTAAAAATGCTTGAGGAATAACATCTCACTTCAAAAAAGGATTATTTAATTTTTAGAATAAGATATTGTTGGCGAATTTCTTGGGCTTTTCTCATAAGAGCTTATCAAATCAAAACACATTTTAATGAGAAACATCATAAAAAAATTAGATGAGCTATTTCTATTTTAAAAATAGTGAAATGGCTAAATTTATGTCTTCAAATAGTAAATGTCGCACATAAAATGCGAAAAAAATCTCATTTAGACAGAAATTTGTCATGCTGTGAAGTATTGTTGATATTATTCATAGTAAAATGTATGTTACTTTGTTAGATGACACATAGTCTTTCACAGTGTTACCAGCAGAACGCTAACTGCTAATTAATAAATTCGACTGAGATTTTTAGGATCAGTCGTAGTTTTCATCGATTTATTTTAGTGTCCCTTATTTATGATTTGTAAATTATTACTCTGTTTGACTTATTGTTTCTATAAACATCTCCATTTTATAAATATTCATGTAATCATGCAACTTAATATTTTTTCTCACCTTGTTAAGTCTCTATAGAGCTTTCGGAGATGCACCCCGGTTAATGCAACGCACATCACATTCACCGTAACCCATAGGACATTGAGCACGTAATGCCTAACGGGGCCGTAAACCATGGGACAAGCATCCACGTGGCCGGCGGTATCCCTCGAACTGGTTAGGGCCCCGCTGAGCAGGGTGGGCCCCAGATTAATCGTGAAACTGGCAAACCATATGATGAATAAGCCGAACACGATGCACTGGGGTGAATCCAAGGACACGGAAGAAGGAGTCCCAACTGTATCCTGGTTTGGGTGCAGTGGGTTCTGGTGATGGTAGTGATGGTGGTGGGGGCTGGTTTGTTGAGGAGGATGCTAAAAAGAAATTTTGTATTAATATTGCACTGTTTAGCTGAACTGGCCATAATACACTGTCCAAGAGTTTAATTCTTCCTAATGGAAACTTCTTGACAAAATATGCAGCTAACGGTGATAAATAAAATACGTTAGCTTACAAAATTTATGCATTAATTCAGTGATTTAAAATTTTATCTAATGGTATAAAACTACTCCATATTATGCGTAAGACTCGAATTTTTTTAGTTAACATTTTCTTTCTTTTTTTTTTAATAAATGCATGTTCAATGTAGCGTAGTCGGTTAATGGGCATTAACTCATTAGCCGACTTTATGCCGATGGAAACTTTATGGAATATTTATTGCGCTTTTGAAAGGCTAATTAGTAGCATGTTATTGGAGTTAATTAAATGAAAATGGAGTTAATTAAATTAAATCCATACTCATTATTCGTATGGATTTTATTGACGAATTAAAATATTCAAAAGCGGCTTTTCAAGAATTTGTATTTAAAAAATATTGTATAATGGTAGATTTCATAGTATTTTTTTAACATAATATGATATATTAATAAAAGTTAAGAAAGGTTTCAAGATATGTGAAGTTAGATATCAAACAAAACATGATTTTCTGAAAATTACGTTAGTAATATATTTTTCTTCATTTCTTCTAATTTCTCTGTAACGGTTAAAAATTTAATCTTATTCATATTGCTATTCAACTTTCCTTCAAACTGATATTTAAATTTACGATATGCTATGAAGAATTCCCACCCCGTTTTTTCACTTCTTAATTATTCTGTTTTAAGAACGTAAACTACCCAACCTGAAAATCTTGGTCAGGCAGCAGGGAAGCGTCGTTGATAACAGAAGTGAGCATATTGACCGTGGACACAGTCACCAACAATAAGAAGGCAGTCTCGATGATGTTGCATTTGGGAAGGCGCTGGCAGAAAAGCACACCTACTCCTAGGAGCAAAAGCAAACTGGCCCTGCCGCAGTCGACGAGGCCTTGGTGGAAGAGAAGGCCTTGTGACCACCTGGAATTCGAAATCAAAATATTAATTTTTTTGTCATGCGATACAAGATTTCAAGATATACAAGAATTAGTGAATTGCTGTCATTTATTTACTGGTCTTATTGCATATACTTTTGCAATTACGTTTTATATCTTTGATTTTGTCCATAAGCAATCACTGCTGAGTAAAATCTTTTGACTTTGTGAACTGCTAATAAGTAATATTTCGAAGCATTACATTGATACGAATTTCTGTACAGCGGTTGTGTATGCTTTCTATGTCTCCTTACAAGTCGTTTTCAGATAACTTAATAACTATTTAAAAAATGCAGTGGAAATATGTGAAAATGATAGTGTACTATTCTTGAAGTTTTATTTTTTTTATTTTTAATGTAACTTATACATTTGGCTACTGCATGCTGCTTCTGTAGCACAGTCGTTAAAAGCAAAGCTTTTTTTATTTGGGCTTTTACAAGTATGGGTCAAAATCCCATATATTTAATTGTCATATGCTGTATTTAACTACCTTTTCAAGCTTATCAGTTATGATGCATACTGAGTAGCTTTCTGGGGGATCAAAACGGTAAACAGATCGATGAGTTTTGTATTTGTTGATGCGATCGCTTTCAGTTAGCATCTGCCTGGCAAATAAAGAAAGTAATCTAACTTAATATTTTTTTTACTATTCCTTTTCAGTTTGAATATATGTTTTCGTAATTTGTCTTGGAGTCAGTAAGTTAATAACTGAATAATAAAACTATCTAGAAACTCAACACAGCATCAAGAGTTTAAGTAATATTTTTCTCTTTTACTATAATTTTATTCTTTACATATTTTTTCAACCTTCAATATTTGGCTACTCGTCAAACTCGTGCATTGAAATTAAATTGGCAGTTAAGGGTAAAACAAGCATTTTGTCAAAGAGGAATATTCATTTTGTATTTTGATTTCTATTTATTTCACTTTTACGGGGAAAAGTACTTTCTAGTGTGATCTTACCATAGTTAGTGGTGTTTAAAAACACTATTTGAAAAATTTATTAAGCACCCGGACATTCTTTTGCAAGTCATTAATATAAGGAGCCTGAAGTTTTTTAGAAAGTGTCTCTAAAGAGGCAATTCCTTAAGTGTATCTTATTGAGTTGATATTTTCTTGCTTAAATCGTGTAATTCGCATTATTTCCAAATTTCATTTGATAAATGATTCAGAAGGCCAACGAAGTATTTTCTTTTGGGCTTTTAGATTCAACGCTCCTCCCATTGACTGTCACCATGACAACCAGCGTACTTAGAAGCAGGGGCATTCGCATGATAGTCTCCACAAAATGCAATATAAAATAGCATAAAAAGTATAGGTGAATTAATGTTTCTTCAATTTCTGTATCCTGCTTGCGAGACGTTTTTATTGAAGATCATTTTGAGGTTAGGTTGTTTTCAAAACTGAATCTTCTGTTTGAATTATTAAATGTATTATTTACCTTTACGTGGCATTCATTTTCTTTCTCTCTCTCTCTCTCTCTTTTTTTGTTTGTTTAAAGATTTTTGCTTCCCCTTCCCTTTTTTTGTTCCTTTCTTTTTTCTTTTCCCCGAGCACTAGTCTAAAACTGCAAAACTGTGTTTGGAATATGAGTTGTTTGACAAATTTATTACAGCATTTCGTATGTATATTTCCTCCAATTACACTTGTGTTGTTCCTCAACCGGAAAATCAATTTTTAAACTCTCTTAAATGTATTAATTTAGAAATCACACAGCAAAAATCAGCATTATATTTACAAATTTTCACAGAACTAGTTTCAATGGTTTTACCGAACCATCCCCCATCGGTAAAACCATCGAAACTAGTCCTGTGAAAATTTGTAAATATAACGCTGATTTTTGTTGTTTGATTTCTAAATTAATACTTGTTTAGCGTGTTATTGTATCTTAATCTCTTGAATGTATTCGCAATTTCCAATTGCTCAGGCATTTTTAAAGATATAGCTGATTTAGATATAGATTAGATTTATAGATTTTAAGATATATTTGATAGCTGAAAAGATATTTTTCAAATGAATTAAAATTCACTTTTGTTGAAAGTTTTAAATAGACTAATGAATAATTTCCTTGAAAATTTCAGTTGGTTTTATCGAATAAACTCGTCCTCAGGAAAATTTTCAGTTTTTACCCTGATGAATTTTAATTTTGTCTTTTAATGGGGACTTTAAGAATGGGATTCAAGATTTTTAATGATAATACTCTGGTCTTTATAATATTGCTATCGGCATGAAAATTCTGAAATCTGTTTCTTTTCGGAATTTACACTCCTTCTTGGAAGGTGGGGAGAAGTTTGAATATTTCTTTCTTCCAAGTTTCGAGGTAAAAAAATCAAATAAATCTCTGCTCATGATATGGTATTTTGAACGCGAGTATGTGAGTTAAAGTGACTTACCGTCGTAGTGGTCTCTTGAACACGATGAGCAGCATCAGGAACATGTTAGCGCCCATCCCCAGTGCTGCAATGGTGAAGAGCACAATGGCCTCTGTCGTCTGCGCCGGATGACACACCGAACCCAGGGTTTGGTTGCTTGGACTCGTGCCGTTCGTGCCCAGGGCCTTGCCCACCAGCACGTTGGCCGCCTTACCTACGCCCGGCGTCTGAAATGAGAAAAGCGTTTTAAAGCTTTTGTTATAAAATCAACTGATCTGGACAGCATACTGATTACTATATTAGAAACGACAAGTGTTCCCACATACTCACACGTATTTCCATGGATGCTGTTTGCAAGGTAAATTTGCATGGTGCGATTCGAAAAATAATTTAAAATTCGTGTTAATTGATTGAAAGAGAAGTGAAAAAAAATATTAAATACTTTTTAATGTTGCTGTAAATATATTCTTAAGGGACAGAGAGCTATGTGAAATAACATTATAGTTGAATGTCTATCACCTTAAAATAATGTGATTATATGCAGCAGATACAGGAAGCTAAACTAGCTTTCTTCGAGAACGAAAAAATGCAGCCGGAGATGCATGAATTCTTTAAGGGTTTTATGTAGACGATGCTTAGGTAATCAGTCTGTTTCGTGTAACTTGTTATCATTCTCTTAAAAAGATAGAGAACGCCATTTTTCTTCCGTTTGAAAAATTTACAAATTGTTTTTCAAGCAACTAGCAATCAAAATTTCGAAAATTTTGCGAAGTACATCAGTCTGAATAATGTCTGTGAAAGTAATAGAGAACACATTATTCTTTATTGTGATAACGTATCCGATGAAATTATCTAATAGCAATTTCTTTTTCTTTTGGGGGCTGAAAATTAATTTAGTTGATGTTGTTGATGCACAACGAGCATAGTTTAATTTATGTTTTAAAATTTCGGATGATAATTTTTATGGTAAAATTGAAGTACTAATAAATGTTTTTGTGGTAAAATGTATGTTATGCAATTTAAAACAATATATATTGTTTAGCCAGTCAGTATATTAGGTTCATTTGTGGCTCAGTGGTTTAAGCTGTGGAGTATTCTTAGTTAGGCCATTTGTTTGATTCATGCAATTGAGGTGGAAGACATTGGTTGCATTGAGTGTTTTCATAATTTGCTTTTAATATTCGTAAATAAATGTGACTCAGATTCCTGTATAAAATTCGTCATGTAGGCCTTTCTTTGGAAATTATTTCCAAGCACTTAAGTTAATTCGCCAAGCAATGAGTACTGATTTCAAAAGGGAAATTTTGCAGGCCTATTCGGTAAATAAGTCATTAGATTTATTATGGGATTGAAACAGGAAATGCCAGCAATGCTCTTGTCTTGATTCGAACTCTTAGCCTCCCAGGACATGGTTAAAGTTACGCCACGGAGGCACGCAGGGTGTTCCCCTCAGAGATTTTCTTTTACATTCGGTTATATCTGAGATTCTTTTAGGCATAGTAATTAAACCGAGTGAAAGTCTTTCTGCCACTCTAGCTATTTCGAAGCTGTTTCTGAACACTTGTGGTACTGAATAATTATAACAACATTAACTTCACTTTTTTTTTTTTTTTTTTTTTCCTGAAATCAGACTAAACCTTGAAATTGAAGTGTTCATTGTAATAGGTGTTTTGCTTTACTATAAGACCTATGCTATTCTAATAATGTTTAGACAAGTGATGAGCATACACCATGAGTACAGCACCAAAAATGCGAATTTGGAAAATGTTAGTTTCTAACGCAAAAATGAATATTAAAATTTATTTTCGTGTTTAATTTCGAGAAAATCAATTTACGTCTTTTGCAATATCATATTCTGTGTGCTCTTTTAGCATAATGTGAAACACTAAAAGATATCTAGAAAATGCATATAAGTAAAAGGATATGAAAAGTTAAAATTCGTGATTTTGACTTGTTGCCGACAATGCATTTCAGTTAAAAATCCCAACAAACCGTGTCTGTAGTTTGTCATCATTTATTGATTGTGTGAGAAGACAAATTAGAAGTTAAATTTTTACCTCACATTGGTTGATTTGCCTCTGTTTTATCGTAAAAATGCGATGTGGGCACCTCATAACTTTCTTGTACGGCCTATGAGATCTATTCCGATGATCTCAGAGATTATGTGACTTATGTATAGCTAATGTAAACACACATGACCTCAGAGATCACGTATGTATATCTAATGTAAGCAAACAATGTATTCTTCATCTTCTTCTCTTGCAGAATGTATCTCATTAAGTTATACACATTTTTTTGCTGCACTTCATTTAAACTTATTTCCTCGAATTCCATCAGAGATATACTACTCATTCAATTAATTCATTTGTCACTTCGCGGTTAAGCAAAAAATACATAAAAACTCGCAGAAAATTCTAAAACACAAAATAATCAAATGTAAACAAACAGCGACTTTTAAATTGTTAATAACAGGATAACTAAAGACAAAAAACCTTAATTGAAACAAACAGCATAATTTAGTCACTTTCAAAGCAAAAAGGCACAATTTACCAACATATTGGAGGGCGAAGAGCTCACCGAGCTGTATAAGAGGGTGAGAATATGTAAATATTTATTACTACATTTAAATCTCCTACGGTTATGCGGCATACGGTCTTCAGTTATGTGACATACGTACGTACGTATGTACAGATGTCACAAAAAATCTCCTCTGAAGCCATTTTAAATCCATTTTTCAATCCCTTTTAGAAAAAAAAAAAAAGAGGCCTTTATTCTATTCATACGCATAGATGTTACGCAAAAAAAGTCTTTTAGATGGTTACGAAAGCAGTGAAAGTGGATATTTTCGTAGAAATATGATGCCCGAAATTTTTCGCGACCACAGATCTTCTTTGTCTTGTACAAGAAAGTAGAATATTTTTTTAAAAAAATAATGGTTTTTATTGAATCAAATATCTTGGCATAATTATTAGACGATTTATGCGAATTATAGAAGGTTAATTTAGATTTCTGATGATTTTTACTATTTGAATTGAAAAGGAAAATGTAATTATTGCGATCAGGAGATCAACTAAATTATATTAGCATGCCATTTCATGCTGTTCAGTTTTAGGCTGTTTCTTTAAGCTGTTCTGCTTTGATCTAAACAGCTGGAAGGACAGCTTTATGTTAGTAAATATTATTTTTTAAAGTAGTTTTCGAATTCACGAGAGAATGCGGATATTTCTTTAAGAAAAAAACAGCAGATTTTTTTCTTCCCTCTCGATATATATAATTTCACAGCAGTTTTCATCATATTAGTATATATAGTACTGCATGTTGTCGCAAATGCATTCAAATGAGGCGTATAAACATTTGAATTATTGCGGTTGAAAATTTGAATTGTTTATAAAAATTAAAACATTAAGTTTAATAAGGTAGATTCAGCGCAAAATGTTTAGAAGTGTTGAAACTACTAAATGTAATATTTTTCTTTAGAAAATGTAAATTTTATTCCGTTAAATGATTCTTTATGTAGCAACAGCGAACTTTATTTCTTGTGTGTTGGGGCACTTAATTTGGTATTCTATAGATTCAGGGTCATTGTTTAATCAAATTAAAATTTTGTTTTAATCCATTGCGTTATTTATTCTTAATTAAAATAAACAGATTCTAGTTTAAACTGAATAAACAAAATCTTTGTTTTCAAATTTGCTATTTTACTTTCTAGACAAATCCCATCATTACCAATAATTGCCATTTAGATGAGCCTTAGGTGTATTTTAGCATTATATCTATAACAATTATAGATATAATCTTACTCACATACCTTCCCGTGAAATGTTATGAGTCTTAAAACGAGGGGAAGTCAGTTTGTATAATAACGTATGATAATTCTTTGTAGCTCCATTTTAAGTGGATTTTGGAAATGAGTTTGCTGAATAGGGTAATGTTGCCTCATAGGAAATATTTAATTCATGTATTTCCCACTTTAATGTTTATTGAAAATACTTATGTAATATTTATTGATTATTCTTATTTATGATATCGGGAAAATCAGCAAAAGGTTTCCTGCGTATTTGCTATGAATTTGTTACTCCGCCTCGAAAGTCCTTCATTTAGGGAAAGGCAGAAACAAATTTTTGGTACAATAAATTGAATTAAGCATTTTGTAAAAAATTTATCTTCTTCTATATAAATTATTAACTGCAAGAGTAGATTCAGAATATCTCAGTTTACGTGTTTGAAAGGAAAATTAATTATGAAGTTTAGATCTTTCTGTGTAGAATTTTTATGTGTGTGTGGGAACTAATTAAAATTTTAAAAGAATTTACCCATTTTTAGTTCATTTTGAAAATAAATAAATAAAAGTTAAGGAAATAAATGCAATTGTTGAAATATAAATTCAGGTAATGTCATTATTTCTGTATTTTTTACCATAATGTAATGGTTTTTACCTTGCATTTTGAAGGAATGTATTTTTGCATTGAAATGCGTAATTTAAATATGCTTATCCAAGCTATGAAAACAGAAGAGCTAATATAATTTTCATTGTTTCTTAACATAATGTCTTAAACAGTTGGCATATTGTAGTGTCTCTTAAATAGGGCTGAAGACTCATTAGCTTAAGATAGCTGTAGCAGATTGATTGATTTAAAAAATTAGACTAATTTAGAATGAATACGTTTTAAGCTTACAGTATGAAAGTTTGCAAAAGATTAGTGTTTTATTTTTTGTTTATTTATTTATTAAATCTTATTTTATTATTGAACTGAGAAATGTTTTCAGAAGGTATATTTATTTCGGGGAGTAATATTACGGTTTAAAATTTTAGGCTAGTTTTTTTTTTTTTTTTTAGTTTATTACTTTTCGTCGTTTAAAGCAGAAAAAAGAAATCTCTTTCTTTTCTTCTCCCCTCTTCCCGTTAGTTAAAAAGAAGAAAATATTTGAAGACTGTACTTTTAGGTTTAATCTAATTAGCATCGTTTTCTATAGTTTTAAAATTATTGATTATGGCACAAGTAATAATCTAGTTGAAGATTATAAGTTTCAAACAAAAGCTTTGTGGGAAAGCCTGCTTTTGATGGCGCTGGAATATTTTTGTCATTATTAAGACTAATATTGAGATAGTAATTCAGGAAGAATTTAAGCGATTTATTTTAAGATTTTCTTATGTAGCGCATCATTATTCTGCCATCGGCAGTTAAAGTATCAACTTTCAGTACTAAATAAGCAAATAAA